TTAAATTCGATTCAATTATTATAGACGACGATCTTCAGCTCTTGATCCGTCTGAAAAATGTCCGTAGGAGTTAATATAAAAAAACACGCGATCCTGCCATGAAACTTATCTGGCGGGATTTGCAAACACAAATTAAAAAGCGTTTCTCTGCCCTGTGGAGCAAAAATTTTGAAAATAATGTTTCTAAATTAGACCCGAGTTCCAAACCCTTTTGGAAACTCACAAAATTTTTGAAAAAACCTCAAAAGTCTTTTTCCAGCGCTTAAAGAAGGCGGTAAAATTTTGATCACAAATTTGAAAAAGCTCAGAAACTTGCTAAACAATTCGAGAGTTCCCATAATTTCAGTTTGCATCTAACTAGTCCTATTGAGAATCAGGTTGCTCGAGATTATCTGAATATTTTCTCTCGGGAAAATATTTTTGATGATTCCTGGGGGACTGATTTGGACGAAGTAAGGTCTATTACTAAAAAGTTTCATAATATGAAAGCTCCTGGTGATGATGGAATTTTCTATATCCTCATCAAAAAACTCCCAGAGAGTACCTTGTCTTTCTTGGTAAAATTATTTAACATATGTTTCCATTTGGCATACTTTCCTGATAAATGGAAAAATGCAAAAGTTGTTCCAATTTTGAAGCCGGATAAAAATCCAGCTGAAGCTTCTAGCTACCGCCCAATAAGTTTGCTTTCTTCAATAAGTAAACTTTTTGAAAAGATAATTTTGAATAGAATGATGCTTCACATCAATGCGAACTCAATTTTTGCAGATGAGCAGTTTGGATTTCGCCATGGGCATTCAACTACTCATCAACTCTTAAGAGTTACCAATTTAATTCGTTCAAACAAATCTGAAGGCCACTCAACTGGAGTTGCTCTTCTAGGCATAGAAAAAGCATTCGACAGTGTTTGGCATGAAGGTTTGATTGCTTAATTGAAAAAGTTTAATTTTTCACTCTATAAGGCTTGTACTTGAAAAAAATGCACAATTTTTATCCGTGTGTAACTTTTTTATCCGTGGGTAAAGATTGATGAAAATCTGGGTATAACTAGTTTGGAGTGAATTGTTTACATGTGCAAAATAACAATCGGTTCAATGGTTATTGAGATGTCATCGAAACAAGAAGAAAATCGCCGAAGATTTTTGCGCGCCGTCATGGAAAATCCGACTGCGACCATGACATGGATCGGAAGACAACTGGGAATCAGCCATACAACTGTGTCTCGGGTGGTAAAATCGTTTAAGGAGACCCAGACGACCGAGTGGTGGGCTGGAAGCGGAAGAAAATCGAAGACAGCTGACCCTTTGAAGGCCCGGAAGGTGTTGGATTATTTCAAGCGTAATCCAAACCTTTCGATTCGCGACACGGCTCTGAAGGCAAAGTGTTCCGCCTGGTTCGTTCAGAAAACCATGAAACGAGCTGGGCTTCGTGTATTCAGGGTCCGGAAGGCACCGAACCGGCGTGATCAACAAAACACGGCGGCCAAATTCCGCGCAAGGAAGCTGTATCAAGAGTGGTTAACGAAACCGATGTGTGTGGTTATGGATGACGAAACCTACATCAAGGCAGACGCAAAGCAGATACCGGGGCTGGAGTTCTACGTTGCCAAATCACGGTTTGATGTTCCGGAAGACATAAGGAAGAAGAAAGTGGACAAATTCGCCAAAAAAATACTTGCTCTGGCAGGCCATATGCCAATGCGGTAAACTGAGTAAACCGTACATCACAATGGGTACCATCAACAGCGAATTTTACCGCACCGAGTGCCTCCAGAAGAGTCTGTTGCCCTTCCTGCGGTCCCACGGAGGCGAGACATTATTTTGGCCAGACCTGGCATCATGCCATTACGCGTGATCGACGTTGGATTGGTACAGAGACAATAACGTTTGTCTTTGTACCAAAAACCGCCAACCCCCCAAATTCACCAGAGATTCGTCCGGTGGAAATATTTTGGGCCATAATGAAGGCCAAAGTTCGAAAAACGTCCAAGGTGTTTAAGAACGAGCTGGAGTTGAAGAAAGAATGGATGAAAGTGACCAAAAAGGTCGGCTCCACCATTGCACAAAATGTAATGAGGGGTCTTAAGGGAAAGGTGTGGACTTTCAGCGATGGAAAGGAAATTTAATAAAGTAATTATGCCGAAACATAATCCATATGTATAAGTTCATTTCCTGAAAGTTTCAAGAAAATTCGACTTAAAATAAATTTTTGGTGAACACTTTTGTCTGGTGCAGTTTTTTCGAGTACAAAATTATTTAACTGACACAACTCTGCAGGTAAATTATCAAAATTCCAAAACTAATCGACTTCCTGTTAGAGTAGGAGTTCCTCAGGGTAGCATTCTTGTGCCTAAATTGTATAACATTTTCACTTCGGACCTCCATGATTTGCCTCAGGGTTGCCACAAATCTTTGTTCGCTGATGACACAGGCATTTCCGCTTAAGGAAGAAGTCTTCGTGTTATTTGCAGCAGACTGCAGAAAAGTTTAGATATTTTCTCTTCTTATTTACAAAAATGGAAGATTTCTCCCAACGCTTCCAAAACTTAACTTATAATATTTCCACATAAACCTAGAGCTTCCTTTTTGAAACCTAGTAGTAGTCACATAGTCACTATGAACGGAGTTCCTATTTCCTGGTCATACCAAGTGAAATATCTTGGATTAATACTTGACCAAAAATTAACTTTTAAAGATCACATTGAGGGCATTCAAGCCAAATGTAACAAATATATAAAATGTTTGTATCCTCTTATAAACAGGAAATCCAAACTTTGCCTGTCGAATAAACTTCTTATATTTAAACAAGTTTTTAGACCGGCCATGCTTTACGCTGTGCCAATATGGTCTAGTTGTTGCACTACCAGGAAAAAAGCACTTCAAAGGATTCAGAATAAAGTTCTGAAGATGATTATGAAGTTACCTCCCTGGTACAGTACTACCGAAGTGCATAGAATTTCGAATGTTGAGACTTTAGAACAAATGTCCAACAAAATAATTAATAATTTCAGGCAAAAATCGTTGCAATCCTCAATTGCAACGATTAATTCTCTTTATACTTAGATAAGATTTAGTTTTAAGATTTCAATTGTTATACTGATATGCAGGTTTAAAAAAACCTGTTTAAAATACTGAATTGCCAAGGCAGGAACAAAGTGTTTTTACATTTTCATTTTTTCATTTTCATTTAGCAGCGTTTGGTGGGGCAATGGGAGCGCAAGTCAATCCAAAGCCGAGGATAAAGGAAGAGTAATGGCTGAATAGTCTATGCGGACCACTTGAACGCCATGGGAAAAGGAAGGGATTGAAGAGGCCGGTTATTGGGAGTTTTGAGGAAATGACACATAATGATGCTAAATGTAAAGAAACCGAAAATCCATCTCCCACTGATTCATCCTTTCACATATATACCAATTTGATATTTTAAAGCAATAATCAAAATAAACAGACAATACATGAAAAGGCTAGTTGCCAGTTGCTTTAAAGGCTAGTTGCCTCCCTAAGCGGACCCTCCTCATCCCAACTCTTCTGTCAATCCACTTAATGCTACTAAGCTGTCTAAATTTTCTTATATAAGTTCGTTTGATGATTATGATATCTCTAATTTAAAATATCTAAAAATATATTTTTTTTTTAATTTTTATTTAATAAATCATTGAAATCTCTAATCTACCTACCATGTTTTATTAAGTATCTGCACTTGTGAATGTAATCTAATATTTAACGTGTTTTAAGTTGTTTTTGACCTTGACGTATATTTAATATATATTAGTTCGTCCCAGGTGACACCTTCAAGTGACTAAAATGCTTCACTTTGAAGTAAGTTCCTAGCTGATTTTTAAATAACATAGAGTATATGCTTCAACTACGCTCACACGTTTCCACTATGTCGTCCCACAATATTACGTATGCTTATGTCACAATAGAAGCACGCCACAGTGGAAATCCCGAGCCATAGTTCAAACACTTATCCCAAATCAAAATGAAGCACATATAAGATTAGTTGCAATACCATGTACAAAAGTGGTGTTTAATATTGTTCCCTGAGTAATACCTCAATGAAAACAACAACGAAAGCTTGTCACGCAAGTAGAAGGAGTACTGTTGGGCACTTTCTGAAATATTTCAATAGTATAATTCCCCTGCAAACCCAAATAAATCTATCTGCGTAAAAATAAATAAAATAAGAGTGATTTGCGGCAAAACCCGCCAGTATCGCACCCAACGTCAGTGCCTATACGTAAGCGTACTACAACGCGGCTTTCAAATAAAGGAGTAACAAGTGTGATACTATCACTTCAGGCTAGAACTTTGGTTCTCCTATGCAATGGTTCATCAGAGAGGGGAAGCTCAGTAATCCTCATCGCATGCTCATGACGCTATTTTGTCACGGCATGAGCCAACGATGCCGGACCTAAACCAACAGTCTCCAACGCTCCACTATGAAGCATAAGATAAGGCCCGCCTACTAACGTCCAGGTTAAAAAACTAGCCAAGGGGAGTGAACAATGTAAAAACACTTAGATATATATAATAACAATTTAGGCTGGTAAGTTACTGTAGTAACTGGAGCACCTAGGTTAAAATGAAATGTAACTTATTTTGAATTTGAAACAAATAAAGACACGAAAAAATCGCAGCCAAAAGTGTTAAGCGTCTTTCTGCTAATGGCTAAGATTTACCAACTTGTTGAGAGAAGATGTTTAACGAGAATAATTAAAAACGGCAGGAGCTTTAGGAAATACTAAATTGTTTTTTTTTTCTTTATTAAACAGACTTTTAGCCTTGGGCTGCTACTAAATTGTTATTTGAAGAGCTGCACTAACAATATTTTTCTTTCGTAAGATTTTTACGAACCTCTCCTCCCCCCCCCATCATAATAGATCGTTATAAATTTGAACCCTCCCCCTCCCCCCTAAATGCTTACGTAATTATTGAATGACCCCTAAGTGGAAATTTATACATGTACTCTGTTGTTACACTTTTTTTTTTAAATTACAGCAAGCAGCACAACTCAAAGAATCACTGCACCAGGAAGCATCCCGCCATCGAGAACATCAGGAAAACACTACCTGCCGGTTGAAAAACGAAGAACAACACCGGATGAGCGTCGAAGAGCGATTGGAGAAGGCCTGTCATGAGTTGCAGCATCTTCGAGCGGAGCACACAACTGTAAGTGATTCGAAATTCAATCCCAGCACAACTCTCATTAAACTGAAACCATTCACCCACAGCTCAGCGAGTACCTGGTCCGACTTGCCCGAGCTTTGTGTTGGAGTGAGTGTTCGGAACCCCCTGCCCCCGGCAGCGATACCACCATCCTGGGGGAAACACTGCTGGAGAGAGCCGAACGGCTAGCTACCCATCATGACCACCACGTGCATGGAATCTGTGATAAGGTATTCTGATCCATCGGAAGAAAAATAGCATGAATCGGTTTACTGAGCGTTACTTGTTTGTTGTTTTGCTGCAATTCAGAACTGCTGGGAACTGGCCAATCATCACTCGCACTCCCACTCCCATCACCACAGCCATTTGCCAAAGTTGAGACGAGAACGTTCCTGCACCGATCTGCCAATGAAAGAAGTAAACTATCGATTTTTGGTATATAAAGAAAACTCTTTCCATCCATCACATTCAATTCACTCACTCATCCACTCCCACTATGTCACTGTGTAAAGCAACCAGAAATGCATTCTCATTTTGTAGAGTACCGCACAGTACAATTTGCAACGGAGGGTTCGCGTCCTCAGGGAACAGGTGCAACGGCGGGATCTGCATTTGGAGCTCCTCAGGCGCAAGATTGCACTGCTCGAGGATAATGCTAGGGGGAAAACGATGTTGCAAGTAGATTTCGTTCCATTTCATCCCATTTCCGGCACCGCTGGCGGTCGATTTAGATGTTTTGAAAATCGTTTACTCGCTTCTTTTCCTTTTATCTGTAGACGGAACGTGACGAAGCTGTTCACAGGGCGCGGAAGAATTCGAAAAATGCCGAAAGAACTGCTCAACAGCTGTGTGAAGTAAAGGCTCAGTTGTCGGAGGTGAAGACACAGCTGAACGAGGCTTCGGACTACAAAATAACAGCCTTGGAACGGGCCCGGAAGTGTGACGAGCTGCAGGCACGTCTCTGTGAGCTGGAAAATGAAAGGGAAAGATTGGTTGGCCAATTGGCAGCCTATAAATCCCGAGCACGATCAGCGGTCGAAAGTTCCCATGAGCGAAGGGTGCGTGACGAACATGCTATCACGGTGAGTATTAGATTTTGAATTCCAGAACCTAAATTCTTATGATTGCCTTTCAACAAAATCAGCATCTCCGCGAGGAGATGTCTCGAATAAAGTCACAACTAGCGGACACAAATCACCGCCTGTCGCAGCTACAAGCGTTCCGGACTTCCGTGGCAAAAATGCTGCATCTGCGTGACAGTCCCGATTCCGAGTTGCTGCACAAGCTGCAGAACATGTGCAGTGCCCATCATCAATGCACATGCTTGGGTAGCAGACACTACGGTTCGACGTCACCGCTAGGGACGGCCGGCAGTGACCATCATTGTTCCCGGTACGATGACATTCAACCGGGGCCGTCTTCCAGCTGCAGGCCATTAAGTTCCAGCCCGGTTCACACCCGGAGGTACATCGATTCGGGATTCAATGACCATGATCATAATTTCGACGACGACTTTGATTTCGGGAAGAAATATTAAACTCAATTTAAACTGCCTGTTGAGAAGAGAGAAACTACACTGCCAAATAAGGGATGGCATAAAGCGAGGCGTTCACTGTGGGAGAAGAGGAGGATGGAATATCATGTGTTCGTTTTTTTTTATAGTTGCCCGTGGTCGGTCTTTTATAGCGGGAAAACTGTGCGCCGAAGCGGCACCTAGTTGAGAATAGTCGAAACATGATCGTTGTAGCTATAAAGTAATAATGTTGTATGGAATAAATGTTGAACCGTGGGATTAAGTTGTAATTAATTAGGATGACAACGCGGTACTATGGACTCACACGGCCGTTCAGTGATTAACTCGATTGCAAGTCAAGTTCTTAATCGACTCGGGGGCAGAAGTTAATACAGTGGATAAGGAAACTTTCTTTGCTCTGAGAAACAACAATTCCATCTATTGTTTGAGAAATGGTTCGGATAAACAACTTAAAGCATATGCGACGGAAGGTGTAGTGGTAAGCGTGACTGCTTTCTAACACACCAATGGGTCGCCCATATGGTTTAAAGTTACAGAAGATTTTCGGTGTGCCATTTTTTATCGAATACACCCTTTAAGCCTCAGACAAAATAGGAACTGATGCAGTTAAAGTCCGTTTCACTCATAATTTTTGGCAGTTGCATATTAATTTTACTTTTCCAATACTTGAGACTAATCTAAAAGTTGAACCTGAATGTAAAATTCTAGTCGAAAATAATTCAATTTGTCCACCCAAGTGCGCTTCTCGCATTTCTCAAATTTATCAACTCAGTTTTCATTTCCCTTAGGCCACCGAAAATCTGCGCTGGCTGTTGAGGTCTATTACTCAAATTTATTACGTGATCTATCATCCGTCATAATCGATTATGGGTGTCCAATATTATTATCCCTCATCCACCCAGCAAATCGCCTGATTCACCGGAATTAAGTCGAAGAGGAAAACAAAACCAAAAATATCCGGTATCGATTCATTAAATCCCTCTGCCTTACCGAAAAGTCTCGAAACCAGATTTGCATTCGGATTATACGGGTTTCCGCAAATTGACCTCACCGTTCCGTCTGGTCCGGTTGGATGAATTCAATAATGGAGAAATTGCAACTTTCAATTATTGTGGCCCCATGCCAAACATTATTGCCGCTTGCGCTATGCCGGCCGCGGTCATCTTGGTTTCAATTTTACTTGAGCAAAGTGTTCAACAGGTGATTTATTTGCCTCCGCGTTGTTGGATAGCGAAAGATCAATTGTCCGGGGGTCAACCGAACCGGTTTCTTCCGTTTCATTGTCGACCATGGTTTTGCAGTGTGGGATGATAAGAAAAAGTGAAAATATGCTCCCAGGGGGGCGGCTTACTCTCGTGCGGTGGGTTGTAATTTATAATATCTTATCACATTTTTTCTTGCTAACCTCGAAACAGATCTCGACGTTGCTAATAATAGGGGGGTCAACCGACGATGACGACGACGACGACGAATTGCAATTTGAAATTAATCCCACAATTAACCTGTTAAGTCCACAGTCTCGAGTGCAGTGCGCGCGTTCGGCGCTGAGGATGGTCACGACATTGTGTGACGAGATAGCATCTTTTGCATTTCTTTCTACGACGGAGTGAAGCGACCAGTTAGTGGGTTCGTCCCTCTTATAGCAGTTAGAAGATGCCGCTGCGAGCGCTAAGTCCGGTTGAGGAGGAAAAATCCAATTCATTCCCGAGATTAGGGGCGGTGAGATCAGGCGCGCGTTGACACGCTCGAAGCTATGACTTATTATTTTCATTTTGCTCTCGCTGTGCTTCAGTGTGAACCTTGAAAAGTACGCTGCTGGTTAATTTCTATGCTTCGCTTGTCTTGAGTTGGGATGTGGTCTGCTGGACGGGGCGGCTAATGCAGCAGTGCTGAGATGATTGTGATGCCGAACAATGCTAATGGATGGTCTCGTTGATTAATTAAAGAGCAAGTAAGTGATTCGAGGAAATAGATTTTACATTTTCGCTTTCCATAGGAATGCTGAAATTATCAAAACGTTAAACGAATTTAATCAACTTAAAATTATGAGATGTGAAGATTTTGGAATTCTTTGACTGTTACGTCCAAACTAGAATTTTGCAACGGTCCTCAACTTAGCGTTATTTGAACACTTCCACTTGCACTTTTTTGTATTTGTATTTTGAGTAGAATGTACAGTGTCCAGAGAAGCTACTGAGAGGCTCTGAATCAAGATTTATTTTCAGTATGATTAAGTGTGTTACATTTATTATACCACGCTCAAAGGAGAAGGGGTGGTAAGGAACATTTGATGAAAAAATGAATCAATGAATTTTGCTGAAGGCAATATTTTTTTAATTCGGCCTTTTTTAATATTCTTAATAATATGTTAACTAAACCCCACAGCATCCTTCCAATGATTCCAAATAAGCTCATAATCATTACATAACAATATTTATTTTCCGATATGTGCATCCAACTTCATAGACCTCAACATTTCTCCCTCATTTTGATGGAAGACAATCCCATCCAAATCCAGTCCAAGCAAACGACAACGACAACAAACGACAAATTCCACCGGAAGAAGTAGTTGTCAGAGCATCAAGCAAGGAACACTGGCTATCGTCCTTGCTCTTGTGTGTATTCCTTATGGCACGGAACTATACATAAAGCCAAGGATGTACGATTGTTCGGACCATTTTGCGTTTTCCATTGTATGCCTTCATTTTGGCTCCTTGTCGGTATAGAACACACAAAAACCGGAACTGCACTTCATCTGCGGACTAATGTTTGTGACTGGGAGTTTGTTCGCTTGTTTCCGGTCACAGTACGTTGGAAGATCCCCATTTCCAATTTAAGGATTTGCATTTTTCATTATCGATAACAATTCACTTGAGAAATTTGAATTATTGCCGGACTGAGAATTGCTATCGAGATGCTGCTACTGCCACAGAGAAATCTGATTTCGGTTAGATTTGCGTTTAGATTTAAATGAACGGTTCTAGCAGCAAGGCACGGTTGGGTATGGAAGGTGATTGGAAAAATTGATTGTTCACTGCGAGAGAACGGATTATTCTGCGTGTTACAAAATAAAGTGACGCCATGGATTATCGTGAATACAGTCGGGTATCCTTATTCGATGGGTTTTATGGCCGTATTCCTTTAATCGGATTCCTATATGCTTGAGCTTCGGCAGGTAGAATGCAGACCGGATATGATATCATTTACCCTTATTTCCGGCCTATTCGCGAAATACCCACAGCTTATAGAATTTTTACTAATAGGGGCTGTGGTGGACTATCTCATTTGCTTCAATATATAAAGCTATACTGTCTTCAACAAAGTAGTTGTATTGGGTTAGACCAATCAGCCATCCAACCGGACCAGACGGAACGGTGAGGTCAATGATGCAGGTTTAATTGGGAACTAATCCGCTAGAGGCACTTCACTGCATATTACTTATGATGGGCACTATAATATATGGAATTTGGGTCCAACATATCTCCAGAATATCTCGTGATCCTACCGAGCTCGGCTGTGTAAATCTCGGCAAAACAAGTTTTACTGAGATCTCAAAGCGCTTTTGAAACAATTTATTTGCCCTTATTGTTATGAGCAATCAAATGCTTTGGAATTACGAGTACTGCATATAAATGATTTGAAAGCTATTTGTGTGCGTGTGTGTTTTTTTTTTTTTTTTTTTTTTTTTTTTTTTATATAGTAAGGAAAGTTTCAAAAGCCCGGCCTGTCACTGTGTTGTGTGTTTGTTCTCCTTCTGGCACAGTGTGGGACTCTCAATCACTAAAACCTTACTCGCCTCTAGCAACTATCCCCCCGGAACTCCCCTAGAGTATTTCGTCGGGGGGGGGGGGGCTGTGCTCAAGCACTTCTCTTTAACTCAGCTAGCCGGCATTGCTTACTTGCTGATCATCTCTCCATTTTCGCTGCAGCTCCGACAAAATTTGCGTCACTGCCCTGCTGACGACGCTCCACGTCCTCTCATCCCCTCTCATCATTTCACTGACGACATTTCTCGCGCTAAGGGCTGGCATCTCTACTCGCACTGCCTCAAATCTTGGGCAGTCGAAAACTACGTGCTCCGGCGTTTCGGACACGTTGCCACACTCCGGACAGACAGGTGACGTTGCGTGTCCGAAGCGATGCAGGTACTTCCTGAAGCAACCATTGACTTTTCCATGCTTCCTGTTCACCCAGGTCGAAAGAATCGGTATTAGCCTGTGTGCCCATCTACCGTTCTCCACTGCGTCCCACTCCTGTTGCCACTTAGCCATTGACTCCGTTCTCACCAATGTCCGTACTGCTCTGGTATCTCTTCGCATATAGCATTCGGTGTCCTCCGCCAAGGTGATGACAATGGGTATCATACCGGCGATAACGCATACTGCTTCCGTCGAAATGGTTCTGTACGCACTCACGACTCGCATGGCCATGAGGCGGAACGTACTGTTCAATTTTCTTTGGTTCTTCTTCGTTTTCAGCGCTGCATCCCAGGCTGGACCTCCATACCTCAGTATCGACGACGATACACTTGCCAGAAGACACCTCTTGCTGCTGCTTGGTCCAGAGTTGTTCGGCATGATTCTAGCTATCGCATCGATGGCCTTCGCCGCCTTCTCACATGCGTAGTCGACGTGGCTATTGAAGCTTAGCCAGTCATCGAGTATCACTCCAAGATACTTCAGCACGCGCTTTGATGCTATGGCGTTCTCCCCGACGGTAATTTCTGCTCGCTGAACAGCTTTACAGTTACTGACCAATAGCACTTCCGTTTTGTGGTGGGCTATCTGCAGCTTCGCTCCTTGCATCCAGTTGGAAGCCATGTCGATCGCCTCGGTTGCCAGCATTTCTACCTCTTCTAACGTCTCGCCTACTACCGCCAACACGACGTCGTCCGCAAATCCTACGATCTCAACTCCTTTGGGCAACTTCAGCGTTAGCACGCCGTTGTACGTCACGTTTCAGAGCGTTGGGCCAAGAATGGAGCCTTGTGGCACACCCGCCGTGATCCGGATTGATTTCTCTCCCATGTCCGTCTCGTAGACTAGAACCCGGTTCTGGAAGTAACTCCTTATAATGCTACACAGGTAATCAAGAACCCTCATTCCATGCAGTGCTTCGGCGATGGCCTCCCAGCTGGCGCTGTTGAATGCGTTCTTCACGTCGATCGTTATCACGGCGTAATATCGATCTCCTCTCCGCCTCTGTTTAGACGCTTTCTCGGCACTCTCGACCACTGTCCGAATTGCATCCACCGTTGATCTCCCTTTCCGGAATCCGAACTGCCTCACCGACAATCCATGCTCACTCTCCGTGCATTTCGTTAGCCTGTTGAGGATGATCTTCTCCAATAGCTTTCCGACTGTATCCAGCAAGCGTATAGGCCTATATGATGCTGGATCCCCCGGCGGTTTTCCGGCATTTGGCAGCAGCACTAGCTTCTGTATCTTCCATCGGTCCGGGAAGTGACCTTCATCCAGACACTTCTGCAGCACTATCATGAACATGTCCGGGAACGCCTGAATCGTCGCCTTCAACGCCACGTTGGGGATTCCATCCGGACCGGGAGCTTTCTTCGTCTTCAGTCCTTTCGCCACTGCTACGAGTTCCTCGTTGGAGACTTGTCTACCTTCGGTGTTGTCTGCCTCTGCCTCGCCGTACGGTGTAGGTAGCCAGGTCACTTTCAGCTTGTCTGGGCACATTTCAACGGGCATCGTTGGACCTCTAATCTTCGCCATCGCGACTTTGTATGCGTCACCCCAGGGGTTGGCATCAGCGTCTCGACACAGCTCCTTGATGCAGTTTGACTTGCTTAACTTTATCTCCCGCTTTAGAGCGGCCTTGGCTGATCGAAACACCACCCTTCGCTTTGCTCTGTCTACATCAGTTCTTGCCCGCTGAACGCGCCTTCTGGTTCGGAGACAACTAGCGCGGAGGGTGCTAAGTGCCTAGTTCCACCAGTAAGCTGGGCGCCGTTTGTTCCTTGGCTTCGATTTCCTCGGCATGGTTGTGTCGCATGCCCTCGCTAACGATTCGGTCAACTCGTCCGCGCTTTGGTCTGGGACGCTGCTGTCTACCTGTAGAGCTTCTACAAAGAGAATGCCTTCGTCTTCCACCTCCGCTTGCTTACTTTTGTTTTCCACATTGCTGTAGGTATCCGTTGGCCAAAGCTGTACCTAATCGCCTGATGGTCACTATGGTGCTATGGTGCATAGCAACTACATACGAAGGTTCCATTAATTTTGGCGATCACAAAACCTTCGTAAGACCTCGTCACCACTTCTTGTATGGGATACCTGCCTTATATTGCCGCCATCCCTGCGCTATCGGCCACCCAGTTATCGTTATCGGGAGGGACTCGATACGGCTCCGCAATCATTGCAACGTCGCACTTTGTTTCCGTTGTCGACTGCCACAACAGTTGCTGTGCTGTGTCACAATGATTGAGTTATTTCGGTTATCTCCATTACTATTGGCCCGCTATCGACTTTTTATAAGCTGCCCCGTAACGTGGGTAGATCACCTTTTCGTGGTACGTTACGGGATGTAAGATCTACCACCGATTCCTAGTCCTTGCTACTTCAAACTAGGGGAACAGGATTTTTCAGTAATCCAAGGAACACATCTTAGTCCTTGTTACTTTGTATGCCTTGTTGATAGTGACAAGACTCGGCTTTGTCTACCGAGGATGATCTTGAAACAAGGAAAAAAATGAGTTAGTTGTCTATGTGATTCCTAATCTTCTATTCGTTGTTCCCTAGTTTGAAGTGGTTAAGGCTAGTGTTCTGATGCATGGTTATTATCGGTGTTATACCTTAATTTTGTTGCTATGGAATCCATTTTTGACTGACAAAGGTGGGCGCCTTTGGAGGGTGTTTCAACACTCCGAAGGGTATAAATAGCGGGACTTTTCAATTAGATTCGGATCCTTGCGATAAATGCAAGAGTGGCAACTGTAAAAAATCGAATAATACTTCATCATTTCTCAATAGGACACGGGGTATACTACAATAGATCTATTTACAATTGGAAATTAACGTTCAAGGATCACATTGCTTATGTTGTATCTAAAGCTTCATCGCAGCTAGGATTTTTATTCCGTTTCGCCAAAAGCTTCAAGGACGTGTATTGCCTGAAGGCTTTATATTGTTCCCTGGTTCGACCTATACTGGAATACTCTGCCGTTGTTTGGTCGCCATTCTATCAGAATGCCATCCATAGAATTGAAGCTGTTCAGCGAAAATTTATTCGCTTTGCGTTGCGACACCTTCGTTGGCGCGACCCGCGTAACTTGCCGAGCTATGAAAGTCGCTGTAACCTCATCGACCTGGAGCTCTTGGAAGGAAGGCGTAATGTGGCGAAGGCTTGTTTCGTTGCGGATCTTCTGCAAGGGAACGTCGACTGCTCCACACTTCTCAGTCTTCTTGACATCAACACTCAACGACGGGACCTCCGGCTGCATGCGTTCTTCAACAACCGGCGTTCGAGGACCAACTATGGCGTACACGAACCAATGTTGAGTATGTGCCGCGTTTTCAATAGTTGTTATTATGTGTTCGATTTTAATGTGTCCCGCGAGAAAAATAAGCGTAGCTTTAAGAGATGTTTGCGTTAATTTTGTGTTTGAAGCAGTTTTGATGTTTAGATATAGAAAATTGTCATTAGGGTAACTATTTTATCTGTTGACAAGTAGAAATAAATAATGTATTACTGGTCGCAGTAGTGTTAGGTGCCGAACGAAAAAAAGCTGGGCACCCGAAACTTCCCGTCATATGACCGTTTCCGTCCTCCTTTCTGCATAGCATGCACCTCAGTTGCTTCATACAGTCTTTAGCAACGTGCTCCTTCTCCCCGCATCTATCAGGGCCTTTGCAGTTTCTCGCCTGGTGACCAAAGTTTATGTACTTAAAGCATCTCTCCATTTGCTTGGTAACCCGAGGGATAGCTTTCAGGGGGCATACTGACCACCCAACCTTGACTCGTCCTGTCTTCAGCAACTCGTTAGCTGCGTCCGGCGCAAGTCGTATCGACGCCGTTTGTGTACCACCGTACGCCTTCCTCAACCGGATTGTCATAGGCAATCTCCCAGATTGCATTGCACCTTCAGCGCACATCGTACCTCGTCTTCCGTTGTGATCTCATCCAGATCCTTGCACTCGACAACTGACTCCTGCGATAAGGCTCTTACGTTCGCGTCCTCGCCAAGAGATTTTTCGACGAGTTCCTTGAAGGCTGAACTCCTCACCGACGGGTCCTTCTTCAGCTCGAACAGCATCTCGCCTTTCTGGGTGCGCCTGATTTTCACTACGTTCTCGCCTAGTTGCTTCAACTCCGGATCCTCTCTCACTTTCCGGAGTAGTGCTGCGTATGTCGTTTTGTCTTTCGCCTCGATAACCAGAGCGTCGCCCTTACTTCTCTCCCTACGATGCCTGGGGTTTTCCTTCTTCTTGACTTCCTTCTTCCTCTCTTCCGTCTTCTTCTTCTTCTTCTCTTCCTCTTCATTCTTATTTTCCTTCTCCTCCTTCTTCTTCTGTTCCGTCTTCCTTTTTTCCTCTTCCTTCAGTTTTTTCCTCTTATCCTTATGGTTTTCGACTGTACGCCAATCATTGTCTTCTCCATCTTCTTGCTCCTTGTCCCCGTATTCGTCGTTCTTATGTTTTTTGGGGTCCTCTTCGTCTCCTGGCGTTTCCCTATCTCTTTTTTTTCCGGACGTGGGTTCGTTGGTCCCTTCGGCGTCTCCTGCGCTACAGCCAGCATTGCATTCTCCTTGGCCTCAAGCAGAGCCTTTTCGGCCACTTCAGCTCTTCTTCTCCGTTCTTGCAGTTCCCGATCTGCCACAGCTATGCCGGATTTGAAGACCGTCGCTAGTAGCTTGACCTCCTTGTGTATGTTGTTCTTATCCTTCACGAACACATAGAGTTCTTCAATTTTCCTTCTAACCTCCGTCATTTTGGTTCTCCCAAGCTGCAATTATTGCTGTTTGCCACTGCTGGGTTTCGGTGTGAATATTTGGCATGGCACCGCACCTAGCTGCTCTCCTTGGGGTCCATGCTGTTCCACTTGGGGTATGCTACTACTGGAACTCGCTGGGGTCGCCTGGTTTGACGCTGGTGATCTCTGCATCTTTCCGCTTCTTGCGAACACGTTCGCTCCTCCGTTTTCACTATCTGGCGTCTTGCCGTCGTCCTTCATATTTTTTTGTTTTTTTTTCATTTTCGTCTCTTTTGTTTTTTTCTTCGATTTTCTCCTTTCTGATGGGTCCCCCCTCCGGGCCGCTATCTCCACTCGTTGTATGTAGTTTCCTATCGTGATCTCATGGTTATCTATGCAAGCAGGGAGGCCATGCTAGGGTTGACACGGTCCTTCATGGGGGCCGTGTTTAGAGCCAGATCGGCGTAAGTCAGGAATGTTACATCTGAGCCTAATACTCACCAACCACCAATTGGTGACGAGTTTTGAACGTATCCGGAGGCCTGCCAAGGTTTTACCGGGACGGGGGCAGCCGCACTATTAGCCCACTCGCCATTTCAAGAAGGTGTCACCCTTCTTTACTTAGGGAGCAGAATAGCACGACTGTCAGCCCTGTAGCGTGGTATCCAATCCATTGTGCCGTGTCGTGTCCATAGTTCCATGCCGTGTCCAGTATGCCGTAATAAGGATCTTACTGGCGTCGATCCTAAAGTGCCGGTTGGCACTCCTGCGGGTTGACGAAGCATTTCCTCTATCGCCGTGTTATGGCTACAGCACCTATTGTCAGAAGGACAACATTGCCCAGGCTACACCACGGGGAGGTGTAAGGTAGGAACTTGTGAGAACCACAGCTAGGTTGTCAACTCACCATTTGTAGCCTCCTTGTGTGTGTGTGAGTGTGTGTGTGTGTCTGGCCGGCAGTGTTATTATGGAAGAACTCGCTCTACAATGCCGCTTTTATGGTCACTGTAGACAGCTTTAGTCCGAGAGTTAGAAGGTGATACCTCTATTGCAGATCCAGCAACCCATTTCAGAATGTCTGGAGAGTCACGCCCATTCCGAAGTTACATGCATCACCGTTATCAAATGGATATTGGTGATACATACACGCTTCCAGGTTCGAAAATATTCTTTGCAACCATGGCGTGTATTTAATTTAATTTTGATATTTAATTTGGACAGCTCTCACCATATTCTGCTCTTCCACCGCCGTTGATTGCTTCTTTTGGTATCCCTTTGATTTTTTTTTTCTAACACTTCGTATTTCTTTCCGTGCTTCACCGGCAATTCATCATTTTGTTCAAACATTTTCCACAGAAATGGCGCTGTTCTGCTGGTAGGAAGTGATGAAAACACTAATATAATTGAGAGAAGTGGGAATAATTCGCTTTCGGTGCATATTCAGGTCCAAAAAAGTGAACGACAACCTAAAGAAATTAATCAGGGACTTTGTAGTTCAATTTTTTCCCGGAAATTATTGTTAAACAAGCTACAATTAAATAAAAATAATTTTCCCCATATAGTTTTACCTGATTTACTACCAGCTCCCACACACTTAGAAAAGTTCATGTAAATTTAGGTGCTCTGAGACTGACATATACGGGAAGTAAAGCCGTTGGTCCCCGGTTCATGAGTTGATGGATCGATAGGTAGGGTCCAGGTGTGGGAGCTGCTTTCCTGGCACGTCGGTAACATTGCTGCTCAGCACGCAAAACAAGATCGACGGAAAAAAAACAAACCAAAGGAGACTGACATATACAAGCGTCAATTTTGACATAAAATTAAGTCATGATAGAGGCGAAATTCAGCTCAATCAAACATAAGTTTCGTCGAGTAACAAACTTTTCATTCTCAGAGCACTTGAATTTACATGACATGTTTGTTTACGTGTCACCCTTTATGTCAAAGATGGATTCCGTCACGTGTAAAATTAGGATTTTCAAAGTGTGCAGAGAGCCAAAAAATTCAAATTTGAGAGAAAAAATTTTCTCTTACGACCTCAATCTCTCAACATGCCATGTATTTTGTTGACACTCGATTTGTGATTTCCCTTTCACAGATTATAAAATAGAGTACCTGACACTACAAAACACGTCTGGTACCTCTATACATGCATTTGCTTTAACATTTGAAGTCCCTCCTCTTTTACATATGTTGCGCAAAAAATACTTTATGCCCCGCCTCATACGTAAAATTCGGCGGGACATTCTGTGAGGGGTGAGCTATTTTGTGTGCAGAATGTGTAAAAAAGTAGGGACTTCGAATAATAATCTAAATGCATATATAGAGGTACCAGACATGTTCTGCACTGCAGTGTTCTCTGTGAACAATTATAGGAAAACAGATTGTGTGTAGTTTCCGAGAGATGTCACCGCAAACAACAGCAGTGACATCTGATGGAACAAGAATGCAGAAGCTTGACAACATGATTGATTTCCTTCCGTAGATCGTTCTTGGTTGGTTCTAACATGATTCCGCCTTTTGCGGGTTTTTCTTATTTTCCAAGGGAGATAAATCCGCACTAATTTCCGTTCCTGATTCGATGTTTACTCCTTCCTCGCTGGTTGATGTGGTCGGTTTCATGTCCACTATATTCATTCTATGTCCACTATCTTGCGATGGTGATCCAGGACGAGGCTCACGTCCAAAGTCGCTGGTCCACCGAGTGCTCGTGTGCGAAAAGAGAATGAAAGAAATGCGAAAGGGATCAGTTTCAAGAAGTGACAGTTTCATCAAATTCCCCAACTAACCATACTCAAGCAAAGTAAGAATATACAAGCTATAATGCGACTATATGGTTACTTGGGTACTCATATGGCCGTCAGAATGGTTCATCGGTTGCAAAGTGAAGTATTTCTGAAAGTGATGCGTTATACATTCAAAGTGTTTTTTATGTTACTTCATACGCGAAGTTAACGATTTTCAGAGTTGGTTGGAAATGCTAACATGAAGCTTTAGTGTGATGATTTATTAGCTAGAGAATGATCTTTAGAAGAGGGTAGGTGGATAGTTCCGTTAGAGTACGGCAGTATGAAAATTGAATAGAAGTTGAAAATGAGCGAAGGGCCACTCTCGCAAACGTGGGGCTTTAGGTAGTGATGAAAACGTCGCTAGAACTATTCCACAGCCGCAGTCAGTTTATGAGCAACAAGAGGGACGCACATTTTTGCCTGTGGACTTGGAGACATACTTCAAGTCCCCGCGTACATCGTACGGGCTAGGCAAAAATGTGCGTCTATCTTGTAAACTGTCGCTTTAATGGCCCTTCGCTCATTTTCAACTTCTATTCAATTTTCATACTGCCGTACTCTAACGGAACTATCCACCTACCCTCTTCTAAAGATCATTCTCTAGCTAATAAATCATCACACTAAAGCTTCATGTTAGCATTTCCAACCAACTCTGATGCGTTATATTTCTCAATGTTTTGATTTTATCCTAACGTTACCTCGATGTTATATCACAGACATTGAACGCCATCTGTCGTATACAGGGTGCGTGACGAATTTTTGCAGTAAATTTCAAATAGTAATTTCTCATGCTTGTGCATCATGATTTAGATATATTTGGCAGCACTGGATAGCTTATACTGTTAGGTGTAAAATTTTAAACAAACAATGTTGAGTAAACGTAAAGATGTCGAAACAAGAGAGCAATCTGTCAGCCGTTGTCGCTTTGTTGCGCGCCGGAGTATGCATGGAAGAAATAATTCGGTCGGTAAATGTGTCTGAAAGAACAGTGTATAATATTAAAAAAGGCTTGGGAAAGTGATAAGACGGAGCACCTGCTCATACTGCAAATAAAGCACAGAAATGGCTTACGGAAAATATTTCGTAAATTTGGGAGGAAGAAATTTGGCCCCCAAGCAGTCCCGATATCGAACCGTTGGATTATTTGGTATAGGGCGTCGTCCAACGGGATACCAATAGAACCCCTCACACCACACTTAAGTCGCTAAAAGCTAAAATCAAGGCAGTGATGACATCTATGGATCGAAACATTTTAAAACGTGCATACTGCAGTTTCCGGAAGCGTCTAACTACAGTCGTCGAAAGGGAAGGCAATTTTTTGAATAAATTTACGAAAGAAAATAAATCGCACAAAATTAATTGCTAGAATAACTAACTGGTGTATTTTTTTCTCAAATATGCCATTTACTGCAAAAATTCGTCACGCACCCTGTACACTATGATGGGTAATACACTCAACTGATGGCTGTAGTGTGTAAACGTCAAATGCTAGGGAATTGATTATGTGCACAACAAGTGGCGGTAGTACCAACTAAGAAACATTTAAATTAACAGTTAAAAGCGATTTCGATGAACGTTTTAAGAGTGTTGTCTACTTGTCTGTGATAATTCCTTCACTATCGCAACTTGAAGGTAATCTGCGAAAGTACTTGCATTTTTCTCAGGCACTTTTGATCCAACTGCAATTACTCTCTCATACCCGAAATGTGCCACGACCAAATTGGCACAACAACGCCCTATACGCTCTCTGACCGAAGCGCAGGGAATGATTTGAAAGATTTTTGTCTGACAAAACTCAACGGACTGTTTTTAATGATTCTATTTCAAGTCCCATGGGGAATAATCTTGAAGTGTCCTAGGGAAGTGAATTAGGACCCAATTATTTATTATGTATTTATGTTTTGTCTTATGATGGACTTTCATCTAACGTAACATTAGAGTTATTTCTATTAACAATATTCAGCATTCCTGCATACTTTTCGGAATTCATCAAGTTGAGTGAAACGTCGTGATCCTCGGGCTCAGTTTTGTCGTCATATTCTTCACATACATATCGAGAGGTCTGGCTGCTGCTGGTTTCGGCAATCGCTGAGAGCGAGCTGATGGGACAGTTTAATTTTGGCAACTTTACATTTTCAAAATCGAACGGACACAACAAATAAAAAAAAAGATAGTTGTCCAACGTTCGGAATGCATCACAGTTATCATCAGGTGGCAGTAAGCATAACA